TGTGATAGGGGTTATAGAAGGTTTACTACAAAAGGCTGTGTGTGTGAATTCATGATTAGCAAGATAGCACTAACAACTCTAAGGTAGCATTGGGATTTTGTTTGGAAGAATGGCTATATACAGTATATTCAGAAGTAGTAAGAGAAGTGATAAACATAGTAAGGGGCTGTATTAAGAGGATGGCTTTACTAAATATAAAACACCTCTGGTACAATGAAACAAGAAAAACTAGCTAAAAGAAATCTCAAAAAGCATGGAAGCAATTAATCTGGTGGTATAAAAATAAAGACAGACTAGGGAGTAATAGTTGCACAACCTATATGGAAGTCTATAATAAAATATGGCAAAAAAGTGGGTTTCAGATTCCTAGTTTGTGACAGTAATTAAATAAGGTACATAACTTTTGTCTTAAGGATCTAGCTTTCTGTAATACCATACTAATAAAGAGTACTACAAAAGGATTGGTAGTCTAATTTGGTGATTTTTGATGTGAATATCTGATCGATGTAAAATAACATCCTAGTTTGGCAACTTAACTGTTTGAAATATGGCTAGGCCCTTAAAGTAGCTACTCTAAGGACACCAAATTGGAAGCATGAAGAGTGCCCACTCAAAGAACACCAATTTGAAAGTAATACAAGTACTGAATTAGGAGTAATGTAATAAGTGATGAGGGATAAAAGTTGGTTAGTAGATATTGTACAGTAGTATATATGCAAGATATATATGATAAAAATAGATTTGGAAACTATCCGGTGATTTAGTAACTGGTCTAGTTGCAAGGCGGTTATTAAGAAGGTAAAATCTTATATAGCAAATCATATATAGATACTAATTTAGTAACTGAGTAAGCTAATACTCGTAAAACATTAGAGAGTTGTAATTGTATATATGATATTTGTAATCAAAATACCTTAGAGTACTAATAAACAGTATTGGCAAGACTGCTGAATTTAAAAAAAATTAATTTATACTATTATAGCTATAGAATATAAAATCCTTGCACTACTATTATAGTTGCAATGCTTAATCACCAAAAATAAGGTTTTCTGCTACCTGTAGTAGCTATAAAACCTAATTACAATATAACTTTTTTGTATTGCTATTGTAGCTACAAAATCTAATTATAATATAAAATCCTTGTTCTGCTATTATAGCTGTGAAGCTTAATTACCAAATATGAGGTTTTTGTATTGTCTATAGTAGTGTATAAAATCTATATGCACAATGTGCTTATGAGCACATGTTTTTAGCTAGAAATATGTACGAAATTTACAAGATTTCTAGCTACATAGTGTACTAATTTATTAATAAAATCTTAACTTTGTGCATACAAGCTATTTTTATATATGTAAATTAAATAGATATTTATATGAAATAATTTATAATTATAAAAATTTATAGTGCACTAATTTTTAAATTTATTTATATAAATTAAGTGTACAATGTGAACAATATTTACAGTTTTTAAAGTGAGATTTTATACACTAGTTTATAGCCATTATAAAGTCTAATTACAATATAAGGTTCTTGTATTGCTATTGTAATTATAAAGCTAATTACAATATAAGATTCTTGTACTACTATTATAGTTATAGTGCTTAATTACTAAACATTAGGCTCTTATACTGTCTATAGTTGTTATAGAGCCTAATTATATCTAGCCCAAATATATTTGCAAACTTTCAAATCTAACTCAATCCAAATCTAAACTAGCTCTAAAAATTTGATTTCAAACTCAAATCAAATAGTATTTAAAAAAATAGTTTAGTTTAAGTTTGGTCTGAAATTCAAATCAAATTTAAACTTAACCAAAGTTTGATTTAGTTTGGGTTTATAGAAGCACTAGAGTTAGAGAAAAATTTAATTTATTAAGACAATGCTTTACAATAGAGATATACAAATGTTGTATTTGTTATATAATTTTTATTCATTAATTTTTACTTTCCCGAAGCCCACCTTTCTGAAATATTATTTCCTGTCTTATTCTTTTTTCTAACAAGAAATATTCTCTGAAAAAATTTTTTAGAATTTTTTTTTTCTGGTATAGCCAATTTACTGACAACTTGAACTTCTGAAAAAAATTTATTTGACAGACTTTTTTACTGACAAAACCTTTTTTTCAAATTCCTGTTTCTCTGACAAGAACTTTTTTTTACCTTTTCAATTACAAATATTATATAATATATTTTTCTAAAAGAATGTTTCTTTGAAAAGTTGTTTTCTTTAAAATAAAATTCTCAACAAGGTTTCTCTTGATTGAACAAAATTATATAATTCTTTATACAAATTTTTATTAATACTATTTGATATTAGCTTATCTGGTTAACTTAATTGATAATTCTCCAGTCAACTAAAGAATAAATATAGTATAATATGACTCAGTTTACTATATAAATCTAATATAGGCTGAATATAAAATTCATTCAAAGAAAACATTTTTTGGTACTATGTTAATCGAATTAATTAAAATTATAAAGCTTATATTTGAAGTTCTAATAGTGTTAAACCATCGAAATTAACCTAGTGGATACCAAGATATCTTTAAAAAATGTATTAATGACTATATAGTTATTGATGCACTTTTAAAGTTTCTTGGCACTCACTTAGCTAATTTGGTTAGTTTAATTACCATTAGAGCTACAAAGATGAGATCTACAACTTTCAATTAATTTACAAGTTTGATTAACTTAGTACTAAAAAATGTTTTCATTTTATAGGTGCTAGAAATTTTTCATATTCAGTCTATAATAGATTTATATAGTAAACTGCATCATGTTACACTATTTTTATTCTTTAGTTAACTGGAGAATCATCAATTAAAAGACAATATAAAAATAATTATACATCAAAATAGTAAATGCTTAATGCCAATTAAATACTTCAGCACAGTTATATTTTATTTCCTAGTGGCAGTTTTTTTTACAAGTTATTATCTGACATTATACAAATAGTAGTTATATCAGCAGCAAATCAAATACCAGTATAATGTCAAGTAAATAAAATAATATATAGCTTTACTAGTTAAAAAAGGCTCAATTAGAATATATTTTTCAGTAATGATAACAGTTCTAGATAACACTATATGTAAAGAATATATGATAAATTATCTTCTTTATTTATTACACATTACACTACACAATTGAACAAATAAAAAAAAAGATCAAAATTCCTTCATTACAATTTATCATTATGGTCTTTAATGATCAGTTCATTACACTGGCAAAAAATTAGAAAAAAAAAACAAAATACCAAAAAAGCTTGGAAAGTATAAATATAAATATAAATTAAAATAGATACACAAGTATAAAAGAATGTTTTAGTAAATTAGTTTATGCTATTTTAAAAGGTTTTTACTACAAAATTCTAAAAGACAGATTCTTGAAAGCATTTAATACCAACAAAGTTAGCTGGCATTAGTTATAATACTAGCTAATTTAATAATAGGTATTATGTTCTTTCAGTAAAGTAGCTTTTAGATTTTATGGTAGAACTATTTTTAATTTATTAAATGACCCAAAATTAGTGCTTCGATCCGCAATCCAACTATTTCAGATTGATCTGATAATTCTGATTAAATGCAGATATCCTTATCCATCAATTTTAAAGGATAGATCCGTAATATATCTTGGATTGAGGATAAGGATTATTTGAATTATAATCCTAGATATATATGGGCTGTGTTTAAATTAGGTTGCATGATAATTAAGACAAACAAATCTTTTTGGATAAAATAGGCAATGTAGCAGCTCACAAGGATATACAAACTCCAATAAAGTTAAAATTATATATGCAGATTTTTTTTTAAAAAGCAAAAAAGATAGAATATTCTTAAAAATTATGTGTAAAAACAAATTTCAAACATGAAACCCATAATAATCTTTGGAATATAGTTACACAATAATGCCAAAAAGCAACGTGGATATATTTTAGCACAAATAAATTAAATGTATAAATACATATTTTATTCAAATAATATATAACAATACAACTTTATTTTAAAGAAATCTGTCAAAAAATAAGCAATCAAATATTTATTTGTTCAATCTTTTGATATCTGAAAATTTATTAGCAAATTTCAAATAAATTTTTGAATATTAACTGAATTTTCATTAAATATTGTTAGAGTTTTTGATTCAGATTAAATATTAATAAATGAATTTTATACTTTCAAGCTACATTAAAATAAATATCTTGTTCTGTTTATGATTATTAGCATTGCTAACCAATTAGTATATAAAATTGAGCATACAACCTTACATTTAATTGGTCAATTAGATAGTATTTATTCATTGAATATTCAAATATCCAGTTTAGTGAAATGATTATATATTTGAATATTTGGATATACTATTCATCGAATCAGACTTCTTATTAAAACTTGTTGTTTTATGAATTCTCAGCGAACCACCTGCAGCAGCTAATTGTAATGCTCTATACTTACTCTTTTAAATTCTGAATTCTAAATAATAACAATAATAAATTATTATTTAGTATAACTATCTTTTCTAAGCTTCAATTTTATATATACTTAAAAAATTAGTTGATAAATTTCTTTAGCAGGTTAGGCTACAAAATTAAAGCTGTAAATGCGTTATTTTAGAAATATCAGGTTCAAATCAACCTTTAATGCAGATGGATGTATACACATCTGAATTAATATGTATGTGGCATTATATACAGTAGCTATAACTCTTATGAATATGTAATTGAATGCGTTAATATCTTTAAAGGATTCTTCTTTTAAATAAAGCCTCTGATATTTTCACGGGTGATAGTTCTATCCGATATACTAAGTATAAAACCAAAAAAACTTTAGTATTTAAATACTTTAATAAATACAGAAATAGTGATAAAAGACTACGAGCCAGATGATTTTGATAATTATTATTATCCTGATGATAATCTTGAAATTGCAGAAGGCTCAAGAACTTCAGCTGAGACCTTTAATTCATCAGCAAACACTAAATCTAGCATTCAAGTGACATTAGACATTCTAACAATACCTTTAGAAAGTAAAAAAAAAGGTAATAAATTAATAATAGATTAAGGTTTTAGAATAGCTAATAGTTCTATACTTTTTATATATCCAAAATGCCTAAAAATAAAAGAATATACAAATGTAAAAAACTATCATTTACTCAGAATTATTTTGAAAAAACGAAAAATGATAAAGCCAAAGAAATATGAGTTTGTAAAATTGTGAATGAGGATGAAATTAAGTGTGGCCAACTATACAAGAATATAGAAAGTTTAACGGGAAACCTTATTGTACATCTTAGAGACTGCTATGGAATTGTTTTACAAGACCAAATTGAAGCTCTAAAAAAGGTAACTACAAATAGAAAAACTAAATATACAAAATTAATAAAAAGCTTAAAATATTAAATTTTAGCTGTGAGACTCCAAAATTATTGATTTTGTGCAAAATGCTCACACTCATCCTATTCATATTCAGAAACAATATGAAGAAGTGGTTCTAAAATGGATGCTACTTACGAACCAGCCACTCTCTACAGTTACTGACAAAACATACAAAGAAAAAATAGCTGCATTTGATCTTTCTTTTACTATTCTGGGAGAAAAAAAAATTAGAACCATAATTGTTAAAAGTTATAACTATAATAGAGAAAATTTAAAAAATCTTCTTAATCAAACATAAAAAGTGTTTCACTTATAATAGATCTCTGGTCTAGCAAAGCCAAGCAAGGATACCTAGAAATTATTACCACTTGGATTATGCCAAATTTAGAAATTAAATATGTAATATTAGAAAATAAGTATGTACCAAATCTACATTCTAGTAAAGTTATAGCTAATGAGCTTTATAAGTGTATAAATTTGTGGAATCTTGAAAACCATATAACATTAATCACCACTGATAACAGAAGAAATATGGTCTTAGCTTTCTCTTTATTAAACCAAAATGATGGATGCAAAAAGATCAAACACTTTAGTTGGCAATTAGAAAGGGTCTAGCACCTGCAGAGATCCTGGTAGCATGTACAAAAAGGCTTATTCAATTTTTTCAGTATTAAAAGCAAATAGAAAGGTTAGAAGAAGTGCAAAAAAACCTTTGCTATATAGATGTTTTGCATTGTATTCAGGTAATGATATAAATCAAAATCGATTATTGCAGTTTGTATAATTTTGTGAACTCTATAATTTTTTTTTTTACAATTAAATGATTATGATTGTGATCACAATTGCTAAAGCTGGCCAATTTATCATAAATCTGAGCTTGATACAAACTTAGGTTCATGATAAATTGGCTGGCTTTAGCAATTGTGATCGCAATCACAATCATTTAATTGTAAAAAAAATTAACCATAAAGTCACGAAATTATGCAAACTGAAATAATCATTTAGTTGGCAGAGTTGACAATTAATAAATTAATAAATTAATAATTTTTAACCCAACTATTAATCGATTAACCAATTAATCAATAATTGATCAGTTGGTTTATCAACTCAGCCAACTAAATGATTAATCAATTATAGCACTTTGCAAAAGATGTGGCCCATAATTTTTGTAATGAACAAGAAAATTTCTGAGATTATAGTTGGCTGAGTTGATGATTAATAAATTAATTGATTAATAATTTTTACACAACTATTAATTGATTAACCAACTAATCAATTAATTGATCAGTTGGTTAATCGATTAATTGTCAACTCAGATTAATCAATTATAGCACTTTGCAAAAGATATGGCCCATAATTTTTGTGATGAACAAGAAAATTTCTGAGATTCTAATTGTCTATTAATTCATAGTTGGCTAAGTTGATGATTAATGAATTAATTGATTAATAAATTTTAACCCAACTAGTAATCGATTAACCAACTAATCAATTAATTAATCAGTTGGTTAATCAATTAATTGTCAACTCAGCCAACTAAATAATTAATTAATTATAGTGCTTTGTAAAAGATGTGGTCTATAATTTTTGTGATGAACAAGAAAATTTCCGAGATTCTAATTGTCTATTAATTCATAGTTGGCTGAGTTGACGATTAATGAATTAATTGATTAATAAATTTTAACCCAACTATTAATCGATTAACCAGCTAATCAATTAATTGATCAGTTGGTTAATCGATTAATTGTCAACTCAGACAACTAAATAATTAATCAATTATAGCACTTTGCAAAAGATGTAACCCATAATTTTGTGATGAACAAGAAAATTTCCGAGATTCTAATTGTCTATTAATTCATGTTTTCAAACAGTTAAATTTATATTTATTTGAAATTGGAAAGATTCTTAAAATCTATAGAATCTCAGATTTTTACATCTTTTTGCAAAGTGCAATTATAACATTTCAGCGGATTGGCGAAATTGGCTCTTTTAATCAGACTCTAAATTAATTATTTTAAGAGTAATAATAATTATATTAAATTAATAAATTATACAAATATCAGTTAGTACGTATATCAAAAAATGACATACGTATTTTATTAATGATTAATAAAATGAATAGAGTTCAAATTTGGATGATCTAAAAAAGGCCCAATTCCACCAATCCACTGAAATGATTAGCAATCGATTTTTTAAAAATATTCAAAAAAAATACAATTACATTCTTTACCCTAATTCATAACACTGCATTTAGGATGTATCCCTCATTGGAATTCTATGTATTATGCTTGGAATCATCTCTTTTTATTAAAAGATACAATTATTCAACTCCAAGCTAATCAATGTACAACAGTTGAATGGGAGGTTAAAAAAGATGGTAACAAATTAAAAAGGATTCTTCTTTCAGATGATGAGTTGAAATTAATAGATCAACTTATCGATTTGCTAATGCTATTTGAGGAGGCAACACGAGAATTCTCAGGAAATACATATGTAATTTTAAGTAAAGTCATTCCATGTATTAAAGAAATGATATTTGATTTAGCAGGTGAAACATTAACATTAGATAATGCTTTGTTTTTGAATGAGGACACTGTGTTTGAGTTGGAAGATGAAGAAATACAGCCTATTGATTTCGATGATAAAGAAGTTATAAGTAACATTACAAAAAAAAAATTTTAATTAAAGCCCCCTTAGATACAACAGGTATATTAGAAGAAGTTAAGCAGAATATTTACGAAGCACTAATTTACTATTGGAATGATTCAAGTGACCTTGGTCTGGCAGCAGTTTTATTAGATCCACATTACAAAGATTTAGATTTCCTAGGCAATAACTCAGAGAAGCAACAAATTATTTAAAAGCTTCATGATAAATTCAGTAAACTAGAAGTACAAACACCTAAATTATCCACACATCTAACTTTATCTAATATAGAAGCTGCAACATGATCGCATAAAGAGTACCTTCAACAGCATTAAATGAAAAGGCAAAAAAAAGACAAGACAATGTTAGATCTACAAAATCTTGATGAAATTTCCAAATATTTGTTATTACCATTAGCATTAAGCATCGACAATCCTTTATACTGGTGAAAAACACATTCTTCAAAACTTCCAAAACTTATCAAAATGGCCCAAAAATATCTTACAATACCTACAACGTCGGTGTCAAGTGAACGATTGTTCTCAGATGCTGGCAATCTTATTAGTTCTAAAAGAACAAGCTTAGATCCGAATTTAGCAGGTCAAATATTATTTTTAAAAAAGAACCTAATAACAATATGTGTTTTTGCACCAGAATGGAATAATAATAAGGTATAGGTATTATTAAAGATAAAAAGAAGGTATTTGAATGATATTGAAATCAGAATTAGAGTAGCAATTCTAACTGACAAAATTAACCCTAAATGCTGTTATATATTACAATATATCTGTATATTAAAAACTTTTGAAATATTTGCATTTTGCAAAACAAAGTCAATTAAATAAAGTACTATTAGCATAACATATAGATTAATAAATTTGTACTTACATAGATTAGGTTTTTATTTTTTAAAAAAAACCTAATGCATAAACATGTATATATGTTGTTCCACAGTTGCCTGTGTGAAAGTCTTGATGTATCAATCCTTGTTTATAGATTAACACTAATCCTAGTAAAAAAATATAAAGTCATCAAATTTTGCAAGTATATCTTAAGTTACTTAGAAGAAATTTTGGTACTGATCCGAATTTAGATCTGAATTAATCTGGATTTACCTGGATTCAAATTACTAACCAGATGCATTAAAGAGTATACAGATTTTATACGAATTGCTCTGAAAATTTAGGATCGAAGCTCTACCCAAAATTAATAATAATAGCTATAAATTTAGTAAAACATCCTTTGGTAAAAGAGCTTTTAGTAAGATATTTTCAAAGAAATACTATTTGTAAAATAGCATGTCAGTAAAATAGATATTTATTTTTTGATATTTAGTAAAATAAAAATTACAAATAAATGACTTATTGATAACATTTATTTTTAGTTAAATGAACTTTTAGTAAAATATGATTTTTGAAATTATGTCTTGTTAGTAAAATAGGATATCAGTATTATAATTTTAGTGAAATAATATTTTAGCAAAATTGATTTTGGAAAGTTAATCTATAGCTATTTTTATTAGCTATGTACAGGCTATAATAGTGTCTTTAGGGTTTTTGATTTCTTTTTATATTTTTTTTATTTTTAAATTTAGTCATTTTATAAACTTTTTTTTTAAAATTTCACTTTGTTGTCTTATATCTCTTGAAAAAAAAAGAATTAGAATTAGAAGAGAAAAAAAAATCTGATAAGATATACAATATCCTGTTACTAATCAAGAAAGCAACCTTAGTTGTTGCAAAATTTAAAGCAAGTTTTGAATCCTAAGAAAGACAAATAGTTGTTATAGCAAGTTATATTGAGTACTAGTTTAATAAGGTTTTATTAAAATAGAACAATATACTATAAAAGATATAATATAATTGTATAGTTATTATATAGCAGTTTATATAAATAAAAGCAAAATTGCTTTAAAAAAAAAACAAACTTTATAACTTATTATATATATAAAAACAAACAGCTTGGAATAGATAAAGTTAACTATATTTTCTAAAAAAATAATTAAAAAATTAAAAAAAATTTATATATAGTTACTTTCAATAATTCTATAATAGCAAAATTTTACTAGGGTAACTTTTATTGTGTAACTAAGTAAAATACTTCTCTTGCAATTTTACTCTAACTCCAAATTTTAACTCTAATCTGACTCTAATTAACCTAACCTAACTCTAACTTTAATATTAACAAATTTGCTAAAAATTTTTTTTATAAAAAACTATATTTGTAGTATGGCTACATATAGATTTTAAGCTACAAATAAATAATTTAAAATTAAAAAATATAAAATATAAAAAAGTTGAAAAAAACAAATAATAGATAAACTAATTTAGGTTTATATGAATCCAAGGTAAGTTCAAATAGATTCAAGATAGCTTAAAATAAACCAAGATGGGTTAAATAGACCCAATATGAGTTAAAATAAATACAAGAAATGTTTATTTGAACCAAAAATAAGTTTATTAGAACCAAAATAAATCCATTCAGACCCAAGATAGGTTCATTCAGACCCAATACAGGTTTATTTGAACCCAAAGTGGGTTTATTTGGATGCAAGACAAGTTTATTTGGACCTAAGTGTTGCATAGTTTTAATGAGTCCATGTACTTTGTAAAAGGTATGCAAATAGACAATGAATTATTTAGTAAGTTAAAGAGTGTAAGAGCCATAAAGGAATATGAGATGATTGATTCACGTGATCAGGTGATCGATTAGGGTCATGCAGGTAATTAAGGTATCAGAGATTAATCAAGATCAGGTACGATAGGCACCTTGATCATCAAGTGCATGAATATGACGATTGAGTTGGGGAACAATGAAAAGTTTAATTAATTAATAGTTAAACTATAATACAAAATATGTAATTGTTTGAATCGCTTAAAATAGCAAAATGTAAATAAAGAATGAAACATTCTTTCGACTGGTAATTGAGTAGAATGAAGTGGTTAAAGTAAATACAAACATATTATAAAGAGCATAGTGCATCATTGAAAAGAGTGTGTCTCAAGTTGCCAAGCGAGACCATAAATCTAATAAACTGTCTGGGTCAGATAACAATCACAACTGTGATTGTTTAACTCTATGACACTAAGACAGATTTATTTAAATCTAAATTAGATTATTTAAACCCAAATCTAAGACAAAAAAAATTAAAAACCTTATAACTGGAGCAATGCTTGGGTCCTTAGAACTAATATAATTTAGGCCTAAGAATTAGGAAAAAATTAAAACCTCAGACCCAGGACAATGCCTGGGCCCTGAGAGCTAGTGAGAAATATATCAAAAATAGCCAATTCTTTTTTGACTGGGTCAAAATGACCCATCACATGACCATATATCTAAGAATTTTAAAACTTTGAGCGAAAATATCTTGATAACCATCTAATCAAATTCAATAAACCTTTTTTATTTAAATTATGATTCGAACCGAGACCACATCAGTTTCATGCATGCAAACACGACTATGTAATGGAGAAGAGTCATCAAATCATATCGATTTGTCATGCCAACACAGCTACATAACAGAAAGAGACATCAGACCATATCAGTTTCTCATGCGAACACAACTGCGTAACAAAAGCCACTGACCTCAATCAATATAAAAGAAACGATGAATAAATCAATTCCCAACATTCTTCTCTTTTCTCTTGCAACACAATCAAGCATTATAACCGTCATTTTCTCGACCCAACCCTTCCCACTACACACATGAGAACACTCTCCTGATTCTGCCATTTTCCTATTTAACAGCCGGCCTGCTTCGAGCAGTCCGAGCAGGCGGGAAACCACCGGCTGATGCTGCTTCTCACTCATTCTACTGTTACAATGATACCAAGGCGCAATCTGACTTGCTAATTTTCCCGGGAGCATATCATCGTTTCAGTTCAAATTACTTAGCTCAAATTACTCAGTTTAAATTACTCAATGTATTCTGCGGACTTAAAGTCCTTTACAACTATTTTCATGATTCCTGGAACACCTGATAAAAATTGACCGAATGATGTTTCGGCCGATTCGATTAAGTTTGTGATTTTGGCATGATCCGTATAATAAAAGCTATTTTTTGTATTATGAAGATCGTTATCGATCGTTTCAACAATGATGTCAACGTTACTAAATTTTCGTTCGAATGCTTGTCCAACATGCTTGGTGTGTTTGGTTTGTGCGAAAATTTATGGAAAAGACTACTTCTGTCAACCAATAAACCTTAGCAAAAAACATAAAAAAGAGTCTGAATATAAACTAGACTTTTATATCAAATATATTACACGAATAGGTGCCAATATTAAAAGGGTTAAATATGAACATGAATTTGTTGACTGGAATAATAATAAATCTCGAGTTAAGATTCCAAACGATCAAAATTTCATTAATATTTGTCGAGAACGCATGAAAATTATGATGATTGAACCAAAGTAAAAATCTTACATATTCGTATTATCTTTATAGTATTGAAAATTTTACCCAATACTAATAATTAAAACTTAGTTCAAAAAAAGGATCAGAACAAAGTAAATGGAAGTAATGAAAGTATCGAAACAGTGGATTTAACAACCAAAGATCCTTTAGATTGTTATCTGAAGCTGATAGCTTATAATTACCCGACTTATCTGAAGTAATATCGGTAATAGTTGAATCAGAAATTGATAATGCGAAAGAACCTGAATTAAAAACTAGTAATACGAAAGTTTCTGAATTAGGAATTATTAGTCTAATACAAGTATGATCTTTGAAATATTTATTTAAAATTAACTAATGAATATTTTATTAATATATATCAGATATTATCGTTATATAGTATTCATTACATTTAGAGATGGGTTTCATGCGTGCGCATGATTCCTCAATCGTGCGCATCTAAATTTTATATAGTATATTTAATTTAGGCCAAGGTGTATAATGCCAGGCAAAATTAAGAAATAGGAATGCAGAAGTTTTGTAAATTCCGAAAAGAAAATGAATGAACATAAAGATGAGAAGGGCCGGGGAAAAATTTTGGCAAATATCCGATATTTTCCGGAGGGAAAATATAAAATCAAAAAAATTATATCATGCGATATCATGCGCATTTTATATAACGTACGCATTAATTCGCATGTTATTATAAAATGCGCATGTTTTCCATCTTTAATTACATTAGTATACAATGATCGGTTTGAAAAACCACATAGAAAACTAGATGGGACATAGTAAATTATCTTCCTCAAACAAAAAATATATGTTTTTGAGCACGCAATACTGAAAATTCGAGCTGTAATGACATGATAAAGTTCTTCTGTCATAAGCGGTTTTGTCTAAAAAAAAACAACTGACTTGGTGTATACTGAGACTTTCTATCAACTTCATTTCTTTCTTTTGCAAGCTTTGAAATAAAAAACATATATATAACTATATGAAGCATTACTTTTTTATGTATATATCCAAGTTGGTGTATTGTCCTCCAAATTGTCATAAGACTAATGTTATGTCCCAACCAAAGTTCCATTTCGAATTGTAATTCATATAAATACCAGTCAGGGTTTTCGTTCATCAATACTTTAAGATATTTTATATCATTTGTGTTTAGTGAACGTGGTTTTCCCGAAAGCGACGGAAGTTTTTCAACACATCCATATTTTTGAAAGTGTTTTAGAACCCGGCTTACAGACGATATGCTAACACTTAAGTGTTTGGCAACTCTTCGAAAAGATAGGCCTTCTGAATTTTTTTGATATTTTGCAACGAAGTTGCTTTGAAAGTAACATATTCTATATATACTACCAATAATTTAGTATTCGTATAATTTTTATATTGGTCGCTTGATCTTAAATTACGTAATATATCAATTTTATTGAATCTATCATGCCCGAAATCATTAACTTAATTGAATCGGCCGAAACATCATCCGGTCAATTTTTATCAGGTGTTCCAGGAATTATGAAAATAGCTGTAATTGAATTTATTTCCGGCACCTTTAGCGTGCCGACATTCTTCCAATCACATGACCAATCGTATACTTATGCTTTTCGTTACATTGACTTTCGTTCTTGTATCTCTGAAGTCTTACATGTGTTTTGCAAAGGTTACAAATAGATCTGAAAAGATGTAAAGTTGCGCTTTACAACAAGTAACTCTATTTCTGCGTTAGAAAATAAAACTTTGAAAATAAAATCTTATTTATGTGCTATTGCTTAGTAACAATTTTTTTGGCATATGTAATGAACAATACTTCTTTTATCATATCAGCTAATACTGTATGATTAAACGGATATGCAAATAAATTACCTGATTTCGCAATAATTATTGCTTTATCACTTAATTGACAAGCTCTTCACCTCAACAATTCTCACTATCGAAAATATTGTAGTTTTAGGTCAGACTTATAATTTTAGCAATAATCCTTTATTGTCACTCAGAAGAATTTATAACGAAAAAAAAAAGATCTATTTGATGGGAAATCTGTTTTAGTACTTGCGCAAAGGTAATAAATTTAAGAAAATAAACTTTTACAATTAAGCGTAACTTATGTTCAAAGATTTCTATTTAAATTTGTTACATTCGCTACATTTACGATCGGTGTGACGGTATTTCTAAATTGGAGTGAGAGAAAATAAAGGATCAGGGGCTAGGTACGTTTTCTAGCCTTATAGTGCAGTGATAAATAGTGAAAAATTATAAATATTTGCCTATGGCTTTAAAAAAATAAATAAATAAAAGGCTGTGCGAAAAGTATTTAGGCTTAAAAATATGTCATAAATTGTTTACGTTTAAGCGAGGCTTTTATTATAAAAATTATTTAACATTTAGAAAAGGTTAAGATTACATAACGATACGAATGGATGATAGCTTAGAAACCCGTATTCAGATAGAAGATGATGGTGAATCAGCGACCAATTTTAATCCACATAATGGCAAATCAGTAACAATGATAGTGAGTTCGCCTAAGATAGAATATATTGCTACTTGGAGTGAAGAAGATAAATCAGTCGTTGGTTGGAAAATTGTTGATAATGAGCAAGAATTAAAACACGAATATATGATATCACAAAATAATATCGAATATGATGAAAAACTGAAATTGAATATGGGAGAACATTTTACTTATAGATACTTTACTGTGTCTGATAATAAACTTGTTTCTGTACCAATTTTTGAAGAAAAAAAAATCGGTATGACTTTTTTTTTTTTTTTTTTTTATGGCATAAGTGTGGATGGCAATAATTTTTATTTTTTACGTCATGAAAAAATTTCAATTTTTTTTTTTTGAACACAGTACTTTAATTTTAAATATAATTTTATCTATCTATAAAAATTGTCTTAAGGGATTTTCGATTTTAAAACCAAAAACCGGCATAAATTAAGTCTCCCGGGAACTGAATTTAATGTTGGATGTCTAGCATTTGTAGAAGGTGGTGATTTTATTATGGTCAATTATTATGATAAGTCGCCACGTAAGGCATATGTTTTTACTCAAAAAACAAATAGCACAGAATTGATTCACAAATTAACAATGAAATTGGAATTTATTGATGAAGTTTTCATAATACCTAGAGGAAAATTATTTATGTATAATAGTGATATAGGCTATATTACAAAATGGGATATCAAAACTTTAAAATTTGAGTCATACTTTTTATTCAAATCTTATTACGATGTTAAAGATATAAAAGTAAGCGATGATGGATTGTTATTATTTGTATACGGAACAAAAGTCACAGTAGTTGATGATTTAGAAGATTCTAAGTTATTGGCAGATGATTCTTACTCAACCATATCTATTTATTTGACTTCAAATGAAATGAAGTTTACAACATGTAAGTTTTCAATATATATAATATACATATATATAGTATATTTATAGTTAATTTAAATTATTAATTAGTAATTGTTATTATATTATAAGATACGTATGATAAATCAATCAGAATTGATGCGGCTTATCTAATTGCTTCCAAAATTGGAGCACGACTTCTTATAATGGCTCAAAATACTGAAGATAATTCAAGAATCTACGAGATAATAGATCCATTTAAACATTCAACCCCTGTAACTGCGGAAAAACTTCTCAGTAATTTTGAAAATTCAAATATACAAATTCAATATCCATGCATTATAAAATCTGGTAAAATTATAGGTTTTATTAATGGAAATGTCAATGAAAATATTGATAGAAAATTAATAATTAAGGAATTAATACAGGACGATGAAAATTGGGTCTCCTTTCTAAGAAAAACATTGAGTGATTCTAATAGTATTTATATATCATCAGATAAAAAAAAAATTTATGAATTTATTGAAAAAGTTAAAGCGGAGTTATCTGAGACAAGTGACAAAATCGTTGATGATACAACTGATGATAAGTTAGAGGCAGCGGTTAAGATAACAAATGATGATGATGATGCAAATCTTATTTATAATAAGACATTTACAAAATATAATCTTGTTCAATGGAGCATAAAATGTAATAAAAAAAGTGATATTCTATCGGCAAAATTTCGTGAAACAAAAGAAGTGATAAATATTCGTCCAGATATTTATTCAGAAGCAAAGCCATTCGTAATTGAATGTGAGTGTCTTGATAATGATGATTTAGTCATGATTACACAGGATGAAATTGTGTTTATTTGGACAATTAGTGCAAAAAAAAAGATACAGTTAATTTATTTATGGAAATATACCGATAATGGATTTATTGACACAATCAAAGATGAAAATTTTTTTCTTCCATCACCATCATATCATGTTTGTGTTGAACATATATCTTTTATGCAACAGGACAAAACTAAAAGGTTTTTTCTTGATGAATTACTAGATGAGCATATTGATAATGAATTTTTTTTAATTCTTTATGGATTAAAACTTATAAAAGTCATTATCGACGAAGATCAAGACACGCTATTGCAAAAGTTATGTAATAGGTGCATTAAGATTATTTTCGAAAGTGATAAGGTTTTAACTCCCAACATACAGTTATTTAGAATAATTTCCCACTCAATTGCAGATATATTTAAAGCAAATCCAACATTCTTTGCAGACTTAATAATACAAATCTCATTTCTATGCATTTTTGATCAACGTTATTTAAAAAAATTTTTGAAAAACAAAATTCCCCCAAAACACCTTCATCATTATGGTTATTATAGTGCTTTATATAAATTAACTTATTTAGATTCTTTAATAGATATTTACTTCAGCAACTCTCTTCTAAGTAATATATTAAAATATATATATGATACTATTTCAAAAATTAAGAGATATAAAATGCGTGTTAGCTATTACTATGAAAAGCAACTTGAGAAACATCCACGATTGCTTTTAATGTTTCCATTGCAACATTTTGTTACTTATCCTGCAGATTATAATTTTTGGAAAGAACTTTTTAAACCAAAGCCTAGTCGTTTTATAGAATTGGCTGATTTGTCTATTTACAAAACTTGGAATGATGCTTTTTATAAAACTTGGAATGGTGAAGCACTTATTAATTATAAATGGAATACTTTTGGTAGAAATTATTATTTAGCAATTTGGGCAATATATACGGTTTTTCTTTGCAGTTTTATTATTGTTGCCACATTATCTGATCAAATTTCTTGGCATTACCAAAAAAATTTCTTGCATACTACTATTATTCTTGGATTTTGGCACTTGTTTTTTGAAATTCGTCAATTTATTTATTCACCTATAGATTATTTTTCTAGCACTTGGAACTATTTAGGTATACATATTATTAAATGTTTATTTTATAAACATATAGTATACTTATTTAATATATATTTTAATAGATCTTGCTGCAATAATATCTACTATAGCAACGTCTATTAATTGGTTGAAATATGGTTATACTTCAACTTGGGCTATTACATTTTCAACTTTATTACTTGAACTAAAATTTATCATCTTTTTTCGATCTATACAATTTTTCGGAATTTACCTCGCTATGATTATGAATACTGTAGACAAAGTTGTATCTTTTTTAATTATATTTGGACTAATTATATTTGCATTTGCACATTCATTACATCTTCTATTACGATCTGCATCTGAAACATCATCTCAAGGTATTTATATATATAATAATATATAGTTATTGTATGCGTAGCAGACAATAACTCGAATTATTTGTAAAATAATTCATAGGAGTTATTGGCTAGCGTAGCATACAATAACGGTTTTATCCGATGGCTTTACGACGATTGTGCTTCTAAATGACTCGAGTTTTGGTAGTGATTACATAAACTGCCAAATAACGAAGTTATTTGGCAGTTGACGTATCACTATCAAATAACTCGAGTTATTTTGGCAGCACGATCATAGTAAGCTATCGGATAATAACTAGTATTTATTATTTATTAATATAGTAATTTCGAAAATTCTTAGATTCAAATACAAATATGTTTACACAATTTGGTACTGCAATTGTCGCTTCTTATTACATTATGATTACAGGTAATTTTTATAATTTTTATTGTGTTTTAAATTTAATTATTATTTAATTATACATTTATTTACTATACATTTATTTACTATACACTTTAGGAGATCCAACTCCTATTGCATCATGGATTTCGGATGAAAATATTATAATCATGCTTTTAATGATTTTATTTTCATTTTTTACAATAATTTACTTGATGAATTTATTTATTGGCATTTTTAGTAATTTAGTTGGTAATGCTGATAATCATGTTGCTTATTTGGCTTTAAAAAGAGATGTACGTATAACTTTGTTTTATAAATTTTGTATCTCACAAGAACTCATAGGCAGGCTTTCGTATGATTGGCTGTCTAAATCAATTTAATTTTACATTATTTATACAGTTTAAAGTACTTTTAAAAAAACTAAAACTACTACGAATAAACAAAATAGAACTACATAGAAAGTTTTATTAGGGTTGTAGGACTCCACTATTAAAAATAATCCAAATTCTTTTTTTGTTTTAAAGAAGTTAGCATGGTAATAAACTAATTCTATCTATCGTTAAGAATTCACTATTATGCTAACTTCTCTAAAACAAAAAAGAATTTTGATTATTTTTAATAGTGGAGTCTTACAATCCTAATAAAATTTCCATATACTTCTTTTTTGTTTATTCTTCGTAGTTTTCTTTTTTAAAAAAGTGCTTTAAACTGTATAAATAATGTAAAATTAATTTGATTTAAACTGCCAATCATACGAAAGTCTGCCTATGACACAAGAACAGGTGTAATGTGAAATCACAATAAAAAAATACCAACGTATTAGTTAAGAATAAAGAAAAGTCAATATACGTAGTATGTAAAAAAATTTGTAATTACGTACTTCATTTTCACGTTACACCTGACTAGATAATTGGATTATTACTATACACATTCTTTAATAATAAAATCTTAAATTTAGATTATTGTTGAAATTGAATTATTTTATTTATTACCTTTTCAAAGAAGAAAATCTGATTGGTTTCCAGAAACTTTGTAAGTAATTAAAAAAATTGAAAAAAAAATTGACTTACTAAAATTTCTTACCTACTTTTATTATTTTATAAAAGTCTTTATCAAGTTCATATTAATGAATTTCGTAAAATGATTCATCAAATTAATTCTACTGATTGGGATAAAACTGCAAAACCTTTTATTTCTGAAACTCTTTCAAAAGTTTTAAATGAAGAAAATCAGATAATTAAAGGTTCAACGCAGGAATTTGAAAAATTAAAAGAAATTGAAGAAGAGCAGCTTAAAAGATTTGAAGAAAAATTTAAAAAAATTGAAGAAGAACGAATTAAAAGAATAGAAGATTTAATTTTAGAGTTAAAAGATTTGTTAGTAAAAGATAAACTTAGTAAAAGTTAAATATTTTTATTACTGTTAAGGTTACTAAAACTTATATTCATAGCTTGATGGCTTTAATTTTATATATTTATAATTTTATATATTTTATTATTTTTAATATAGACCATTTTTAAAATACTTCAACTATAAACTACTCTATTTATGTCAGTAAATATCTTAAAAATTTTCAATTTTTAAATCTCATTATAATGAATAAATTTTACATGCTGATTTTTAATAATGACAATAATAAATGAATTATTTATTAAATATGTATTAATAACGATGGTAAATATGTAAATCGCAATAAGTCAAATCTTAAAGTTGAAAGTTTAATGCCATTCTATAAATTTTGTTGCATATATTTTTTAAAGCTAAAAAAAAGTAACCTAATTTTTTTATACTACTTTATATTATTTACTATAGTTTTATTCTAATTGCTAGATTATTTAAATTAATTCTTTTCAGATATTCGATCATCAAAAAAAAAAAGTTCTAAATTGAAAATTTATTATTATCTTTATATTGTCACAAGAAATGGTTTTATAGCGTGATAAAATTCTATTATTCAACTCTAAGTAATCTATATTGAAGAAAATAGTAAAAAGATTGTATAGATTTGTTGAATTATTATATTTAGTTCTTATAAATTTATAGATACTCATTTAATTTATTTTATTAGTAAATTCAGATGCAACCTTATCACTTGTGGTTATTCAATTGGAGTTAAATTGTACTATATTTATTCTTGTGTTATAGTTTGATTCGCGTTGCAGTACTTAAATAAAAAACTATCGAATTCATGTATTTATTTATTGATCCATTTTAAAATATTTATTAACTGTTAAATTTAACAGCCGTTACACTCAAGGTTGGCAATGGACTATGATGGTCTCCAAAAAAGATGTCAATAGACATTGTCCATTGGACCAATGGACATAGTCCATTGGTATCTGCTAAGCCACATTTTTGGTCCATTGGCCAACCCTGGTTACACTCATATCGATATATTACACAAAGTATAAGGTTTAAGGCAGTGTTGTCACTCGGACAACTCGAACAATACTCGGACAGAGTTTGACAATAAATAATACTAGATAGGGAAGATTTTATTATCGTGACCCGCCTTCAATTATTAATTAAAGTTGTTCAGAATCGATTTTTGCATATATGAGTGTATTTTTAAGATTAGATTTGTAAGCCAGATGAGATTCGGACAGTCCGCCGGACAGTTCAAAAAGGCTCGGACATCCAAAATGTACAACACTGGTTTAAGGTGTAACTTTAATTTTATTTTATATTTAGAAGATTACTTTTAAAAAAAAACTTAACATCCAAACTGTGACAAGTCTTTAAGGCTTTGTCTTTACCAGGGGCTAAACACTCCATATGGGCTTTGATTTTCATAGAGAATTTCATTTTTTATAGAAGGTTTTTGTCTTTGTCATGTCGTAAATGGTAGCTTACCATCGGTATGTTATCAATAAAATCGACATAAGTTACTTAAACTTAAGTTATCTAATTCCATTAAAGTTAATCATAAATTGTTGGCATTAATTCAAGAAAGGATAGAGTAATGTCAAACCAATTCGGGAGAGTGTTTCGGCCTAAACCTCCCCCAAAGTTCGAAACGTGAAATGGCCGAAACTTCAGAAATGGCCGAAACCTCCGAAACTTCAGAAACCCTCTGAACTCATCCTTCCAAATTTTCCTCTATTTTTTCTCCACCTTGCTCGTATTTTACGTTCATTGATATTCTACTCGGAATATTTTGGAAAGTTCTCCCAATTTAAGAGGTTTCGCCCCAATTTCGAAGGTTTCAGCCAGTTTCGCCCAATTTCGGAGGTTTAGTGTCGGATGTAACTTTTATGCATGTGTTTTTCACATAATCCGAAAATTTTCGTATATTATTGGCTATTTGTTTCGGAGTATTTGAAGTTTCGCCTGTTTCGGAAGTTTTGCCTATTTCAGAGGTTTCGGCCGGCCAAAAGTTTCGGTTTAGGCCGAAACACTGTTCGGGACGGTAGACTATCAATACAAGGCATGGTAATTTAACTGGTAAGTTCCAGAAAATTTATAATTTTAAAACTGAGTCTTCGTGAGTTTCGTCTTTTGATGATAAATTTCGTCTTTAATCATTTACAAAAATAGGTTCTCCTAACAACAATACTAACCAAACGTTTAATGTTACAGATCAAATGAAAATTGTATTAAACTAACATTTGAGATTTCTATTTAACACCTAAAACTTACTTTTGAAAAAAATTATTTAAATTTTTATATTACATCAAATCCTGAATTCTGATTGGTTAATTAGGGCAGTAATATTGTATACGTTGTCAGACCGAAACGTAGAGGTATTACCCAGGTCAGAAAATAACGGCCCGGACGGGTCAAATATCGACTCGCCGGGTCAACATGTCAAATGGATCATATATGATGTGTGCCCGTCGTAGCATATCTAAACATACCAACAAATATTTAAATTGGATCTTTTCGGAGTTTGCATTATTGATACGCCCATGTGCGTCATTTCGAAATAAGAGTTGGTTTTTTTTTTTTTTGAATCCAATACTATCAATCTTTGGGGCCATCTAAAGCAGAGCAAAATCATGTGAAACATGGCTAATCAAATTATATAATTTGATGATACCCCGAAAATACAAAAAACGGCAGCCTAAACCTGCCTTGGGTAAGTTAATTAAAAATGTCAGGAAGGCAATTTTGCTTATATATAATTGTTTTAAACCTAATCTATCCCTAATAAAAGATGATTCTAATTCTAAAGTTAATTCAATAAAAAGTATTTGAATATAAATTTTTTAATAAAAAAATAAACCAAATATAATTATTTTTGACGTAAAAGCCAGGAAATAACAATTGTTAGCAAGTTCTACTCTTTGTTTCCTGAACATTAACGATAAATGTTTCAAGCAACGCAATAATTTTTTGACGATTATAATTTCGCCAAAGATCCATGACGTAAGCAAATTGGCTTGAACAGCATCTTCTTTTACTCTATTAATAAGAAAATTTGACCAATCAGGAAAAAAAGATGGTCTGCGCTTCCAGACTTTTTTCAGTGATCACTTGATCAATTTTTTCGACACCCGACTATTTAAAATTTCCGAAGATTTAGACGCTTGAGAACACCCTCATTCCCACGTATCTCTCTATGTTGATGCTCTAACTATAACAATAAATTAAATATTTATTGCAATCGACACCTTTATTACCATTTAACGATTATATCACAAAGTCGAAATAAAAATAAAAAAATGCGAAAAAGTTATGAATCAACAAAATGATAAAGTACTCTACAACATTTTTCAGATTTTACTATAAACACCAAATAACGAAGTGTCATAAACTTCATATTCTATTCAGCTTTTTGAATCCTATAGCATCAAATAAACAAAATATTGAATCTTCCTGTCTTTCTTTACTTGCGAAATTTTAGCATAAACATAAGGTAATAATCCGTTGACGTTAGTAATGATTTTGAAGATCTATAATTTATGCGATGTTGTACTAGAAGGCTACTGGAAATAAAATTAATAGTGTACTGAAACTTTTACTATTGCAAAACCTCACTGGAGGGCCAGAAATTCCCACTGGAAGCCAAAATTAACAATGCTGCTCATAATGATAGTGAAGTATTCAATGAAAATTTTTAGTCAATTATCGCCACTATGTGAAAAGAAAATTATATCTGGGTCTTAATTCCTCATTAGGCGAGACCAATTTAATTCAGTGGTTTACGTTACATCCTACTCACAAAAAAAGAGGGAGGGGACTGGAGGGAGTTTACTATAAATTTTTTCTCCGCGATATTATAAAAAATTTCCGAAATTTTCCGCATATATACTGTAGTGAGGGGGGAAGGCGGGAGAGGGGGGTGTAACGTAAACCACTGAATCGAATTGGTCTCGCCTTAATTAAAATAATAAATGCACTTAACTAGTTAAACGTTTTTTCGCTAATTAAACTTTTATCTTTGACGAATTAAACTATCGTCGCATGTATTATTCAGTAGAATAATATATACATTTTTGCATTGTTTTACATTGAATACGTACAACCTGTAATCATCGATAACATCTTTCTTATCAAATAAATTTTCTTGGTTGGTTCTGCGTCTGTGCATGTATGTAACTAGCGCACAATGCTAATCTAAATTGCTTCCCATAATTAAGTCGAACACATAACCAAATTATTGGGTTTAGTCTTTCGAAAATTTCAATTTAATTTGATCATTGACTCGTTAAGCTATTTTTTTTTTGCTATTTTTTTTTTTTACTAAAATTTTACTCCATAATCCGTTCAGATCATTTGGCTAAGATACTTGAGATGCCATTGTTCAACAAAATCTTTGTCAAAATCGTCGGGTATTGATAAAAGGTTGGATTCACTGATAGAAATTACAGTGATAAAACTCATACAGCAAGTAATAATAGATTGTGCCTTGCTTTTGCATTTATTATAATGGATATTCATTTCGCCGGGGTTTTTAGCAAAACATATTAATTGGTCATTGAGAATGCTAAAAAATTCTGCAACTTTTTCTAAGGCTGTAACAAAACTTGCAATCAAATTAATAAGATTTTCTAAATCTGACCTCATCTTTTCTGCTGATGAAATTTTTTTTAAAAGACGATTTACAGTAGCTTGCTCATGTATTGTGAAGATTTGATACAAGTTCTATCATACTTCGTTGTTTATAACCGTCACTGGCTAAGCCTGAGATGTCTTTTTCAAACTCTTCAAACGTTAATTCTGTATAGCTCCTCATAAAGTCTTGAATATCAATAACCATATTTTTAATATGTGGAAAAATCTTTCTTCTGTAAATGTTGGCATAGTTTACAATATTGCGACGAAAGTCAATAAACTCTTTTACAGGTGACGTATTATCGACATAGAGGCTGCGAAGCGTTAAGCAGGCATCTTGAAGGCTCTTAGCTGTGATTTGAAGACCATCATCAAAGTTTGTAAGGGAAACAGATTTTAAATTCATGATAGAGTAGGAAAAAAGATGCCATTATTTTGTCTGCTAGGGCAATTCATAATTTTTATATTATGTAGATCGGTAGTCCACATGTTTGCTACATACCGTATAGCGGCTTACACATCGATCTACATAAACATTGCCGGTAATTTCCTTATGAGGCAATTTTTCTATAAATCCTCATACTAGCGGTATGTTTGGATGTTCAGCAAATATTTGGTCGATTGTTCCAAACAATTCTGTTTTTTGAATCGTATTGTGTATTTTTTCTTTAATTTGCTGAATCTTCATTTGGTATTGTTCCTTCTTTGTTTTGAATTTCGTAATTGAGTAAACAAAGTCTCGGTTTTTTAATAGTTTGATAGGTCCGGAATCTGATATTTTCTTGAGAGTCAGATTTTCCTTTAATATCTTTGAGGCGTGCATTCTGTCTTGAGGTCGGAATACTGCTAAACTATAATGGCCATTGAGTAATCTATTTACTCTATTAATTTTATTTGTATTTGGCCTTTTTTGTATTCAAGGTGTTTCTTGTATTTTTCTATTTGTAGAATCTCGATTCTTGGTGTAGTTTCTACTTGTTTATGGTGTGCGGTAAATTCTTGGTCTGTCATTATTGGTAGTGTATCTTGGATTTCATCCTCATCTGCTAAGCTTTCTATTTCTTCGTAAGGGTACTTAGCATTATAATCTATGAAATATTGAGTGAGTTGTTCATCATATTGCTCTTCTTGCATTTTGACAAAGTATTGGTGTATTCCATTTGAATATTAATTCTAATAGTTGTTTTATCATTAGTATTAGTAATAATTTCTTTACTTCATCATATGTATACCATTCCCATGGTGTTACTTCTTCTGGTTCATATTGTTTAAGTTTTTGAAACATGTGGCATGGATAGATAAATACAGTTCTTCATATTTTGTATTTAGCTTCTATTGGTGAGCAGTATTTTTCTGCTACCCATTCTTGTGAACTTGGTTTAAATTTGGTCTATACTTTGATAAGTAATTCTTTTTGCATTAAAATATTTGCTTCTTCTAATCCTTCTCTAATTGCTGTATATTCATTAGCTTTACATGGTTTTTCATTTTCATTCAATTCTTCTTTTCCTCCATATCCTTGGGAATGTTTCCAAAATACTTTCTTTGGATTAATTCTTTTTGATAATTCTATTTGATATCCTTTCTCTGGGTGATATCTAAATGGTGCAGTTTGTATAATTCTTTGTTTTGGTAAATCTAAATGTTTTATTAAGAAGTGTGCTATGAAGTCTAATTTTTTATAAATATTACAATTGTCATAATAAATTTCTTGGTCATTTTCTATTTTTTATATTTTGACATTTCTTGGAAGTTGTTGCAACTAGTGCATTTCTATTTTATTCCATAGTTTGGGTTATTAAATAGTAGTAGTTGTTCCATCTTCTTCATTTAATTGTTGGATGGTAAATTCTACAAATTCTATATTATATAATTCTGTTTCAGTCAATTCAACTTCTTTTTGTAATTTTAAAGCTTTCTTTAATTTATATTCTTCTGTAGTTTGGTTTCTTGTATTTGTGGTTTCTCTTTTATTACAAGCATGGCAGCATTATAATTCTAAGTTTTTATTAAATTTCTTTGAGTATTTCAAATATTCTGATATTTCTTTGTATTTTCTACACTTTGGGCAATGTTTTTCTTTCTTGTTGTTTGCAGTTCTTTTTACTGGTTTGTATTGAGTATAACTTTGTCTACAGGTCTAACAAGTTTTTAATCTCTTATTTTCTTTAATAAATTGAGATTGTTTTTGATCTTTTGTACAAGTTCCACAATGTATTAAATACTTGTATGAGAATTTCCTTTATTGTCCATAATTATTTCTACAGATCATTTTTAGTAAAATGTTTTTATCTAGTTTTTGCACTTATCGCAAGTTTTACTGATTTCTCTATTTTTATTTTCTGAATATGTTCCTTTAGGCATTTTGCACTTGCAGCATTTTTTAATTCCTGTTTCTGCAAATGTTTTTCTTCATGTGGTCATTAATTTTTCTTCCAAAATTGTTTATGAAATTCTTTAAATTGTTGGTAATTCTTTACTTCCCAATGGTTTTTACTTATACTTTGGTTTGCTACTTTCTAATATAAGTTTAATATTGTTAATTGTAATTGTGATTGTAGTCCTTTACATATCTACTAAAGTCTTTGTTCTTTATTGTTAACAAAAGTATATTCTCTTGAGTTTGAATTGTAATATAAATATCCTGTGGTATGATAAATTATCTCTTTAGAGGTATTAATTAGATATGCTAAATGGTATGTTTCTTTTTCTTTGTGAAATAGAGAAAATAGATTATGTGATTTGTGTAATGCTTCTTTTCTTAATATTTCTACAAGGAATTTGTCTGCTAGATCTTTTCACAATTTGTTAAATATGTCAATTAATTCTTCAATAGTGTATTTTTTGTGTAGTAAATTTTGAAATCCTTTAAGTTTGTAATATAGATCAAAGTATTTTTCAATATTAATGCTCCTTTACTTTCTTATTAATTTTAATTTGTTTATTTTGCTTAATACTTTGAGTAATATTTTTAATATTAAAATATATAATCTCTTCAATTTTCTCTAAATCTTCTTGTAGTCATTTTTCAAGTTATTTCCAATTATCTAATACCTTAAAATTGGTTTCTTTAAATATTAATTTTTAGTAATATTGTTTTTATATGTGTTATAACTTCTTTTTTAATTTGTTCTCAAGTTTAGTATTTTTCATTTATAATGAATAAAGTCATTCTCTTGCACATATGAGAATTCATTCCAAATATAAACTTTAGATTGATCTAATGGATAACTAAAATTATCTAATAGCATAATAATATAAAAATCTTTGTTTGCTAATAATGCTCATTGTTTAGTTGTAGCTTTCTCAAGCTCTTTGTTTCTAATGAATATTCCTTGGTGGATAAGTACTTGATATAGTTTTTAGTTGTTAAATTTACTACAAAATATTCTACTTCTGTAATTTCTTCTCTTAGTTGTGAATAAGAATGTGCATCCTTATTAATTGAAATAAATACTTGATTTTATTGTATATCTGAAATTCTTTTAAAATGTCCTTTCATTGTAAATATTATTTATACTATAAATTTACTAAATACTAATATTTCTGATAATTGTATAAGTTATATTTTTACAGTTATTTGTAACTTAATTGTTGAAATTGAAATTGTTTCAAATAAGACTAGTATATTATTGTTAAATAACTTTTCAATTCTCTAATCTAGGTGTTGTAATATCTGGTATTTTTAAAGCTAACACTGTAGTAATTAATTTTGACTGGTTTGTTAGAATATGCTATTACTTTTTTCAGATACTGGTAATGTAGTTGGTGTATCCACTATTAATTCTTTAGTTGGTACTTTTTCTGGTTCAATGAAGTTTTTATATATCAAATTCAGTTTTGTTTTATAAATTTCTATTTCTTCATTAGAGTATGATAGATAATTTATTAACAATTTCTTGTGCTAGTTGTAAGCAATATGCTGTAGAGTTTTTAAGTATATTTCAATATTTGTAGTATTGGTTGCTAATTTCTGGTATGCAACTTTAATAGTTTTATTCTTTTCTTTGAGATTAAAGTAACTTTAAATTCCTTTTAAAATTGTAAGGCAGTATTCTAAAAGTTAGACATGCCTTAGTAGATTAATATAGGTTTGGATCTTTTCTTTAATAGTTATTAAATTTGGACTCTTGCTAGTTATAATATTTTTGTAGATCCTTATAATAGGTTCTTTCTAATAGTTGTGTTGTTATTGGTATTAAACACTGTCCTCCATAATATTGTTCTAAGCTACTTTTGGGTATAAGTAAGTTCGTTATTTCTTTTACTCTATTATAATATTGCTTTTGGTAGTATTTTAGTTTGAATTCTAATCCTAATAATTCAGTTCTTGCAATCTCTTCACTATCTACTTTAATAAATATAGTCTCGATAAAATATTCTGGTATGTTCTAGCCAGATAAGATATTCTTTAGATTTGTAAGCATTATATGCTTCTAAAAATATCTCTTCTTGTATAAAATTCGTTAGCTATTTTATCATATACAATTGTTTCTAGAAAGTTTAATAAATAATAAGTTTTTGCTTCAATTTGTTTAAAGATTTAGACTTTTTTATAAAATGTTAGTTTCAAAGATATTAGTCTTTTTTTAATTGGTAAGAATTCTGAGTAGTAAATAAAGTCTTCTGTTAATTTTTCACAAAATTTATCAATCAATTCTTCATAATTATCTTCTATTAAATTTTTTTTTTTTTTTAACAATTTGGCAGTTATGCCTTTACTTTATTAAGCTTTGTAATAATTATCTAAACTATTAAAATTTTAGAGAGACTTATCAGTGAGTAATAAACTCTGAACATGTCAGCAGATAGCATATGAGAACTATCTCTAAACGACATGTGCCATGCCCAAGAGCTACACAACTATATCTAAATTACAAGTAAAAACTAACCCGGTTGCTCAATGAATACCTATGTTCAACCTGCTATAGTAGAATTCTTCTCTTTTTAGACCCCTCCTGCAATTGAATATAACCTGGCTCTCAACAAATAGTATCTACCACCCATTATGACCACCTCTTCCTTCTTTCAGACTTCTTTTATCTAAGCCCGACAACAAGATTAAACTCTTATTCATACATAAAAGTGAAAAAAATAAAGCTATGTTTATGAAAGACAAACATTTTAGAAAAAAAAAACACCTTACAGTGGGAAAAAAACTTTTCAACAAATTCTAAAATAGTTTAATTGGGATTTCACGAGTAAGCCAAAGAGTATCATAGTAAAATATGACTCAGATTACTATATAAATTTACTATAGTGCGAATGTGGCCTGCATGAATTTAAAACTTTTTTTTATACTAAGTTAATCACTCTTCTAACTTAAGAGACTTTTGTAAAGCTTGTCAAAATGCATCTAATGGTAGTTAGAACGTCAAAATTATGCTGAGATATCTTTTAAAAACCTTTCTTTTACTATGTAAATTTCTTTGCAAAAAACAGTATTTTTGCAAAGAAATTTATATAGTAAAAAAAAGGTTTTTTTAAAGATATCTCAGCACCCACCAGGCTGATTTTAACATTCTAACTACCATTAGATGCATTTTGACAAGCTTTACAAAAGTCTCTTAAGTTATAAGAGTGATTAACTTAGTACAAAAAAAGTTTTAGATTCATGCAGGCCATATTTGCACTATAGTAAGTTTATATAGTAATCTGAGTTACATTTTACTATGATACTTTCTGACTTACTTGTGGACTCCCAATTAAATTATATATTTTTGTGCATCAAAATATAAAATTTTTTTAATGCATAAAAATTTTTATACACTATTTTTATTAAATTTTAAATGCATAGTTGTGTATTAATTTTTTAAAAATTTATATGCATAAAAAAACTTACATGCATATGTGTATCTTGTGCATGTTAATTTTAAACACTGCATATGAGTTGGTAAAATGTCAGTTCATACTGGGCCAGTTCAACAATTAATATTAATTGTATTGAAAATGGTTACGGGTTAACTTCCCGAAATCAATTTTACTGAAATACTATTTCACTGAAGTCACAATACTGACATCCAATTTTACTAACAGGACATAATTTCGAAAATCTCATTTTATTGAAAGTTTATTTAACTGAAAATAAATTTTACCGATAAGTTATTTATATGCAATTTTTTTTTCACTGAATACTAAAAAAATGAAAGTATATTTAACTGACATGCTATTTTACTGAATAGTACATTTTTTTGACATTCTATTTCTTCGAAAATATCTTACTGAAAGCTGTTTTACCAAAGGATGTTTTACCAAATTTACAGCTATTACTGGGTCACTTGATAAATCAAAACCGGCTCTACCACAAAATCTGAAAGCCACTTTCCTGAAAGAACATAATACCTACTGACTAATTGGCAAGCATTATAACTAATGCCAGCTAACTTTGTCAGTATTAGATACTTTTTGAAATCTATCTTTCGGAATTTTGTAGTTAATCTGTGTAGCTACTAGAATTCGAATATATGATTAGCATATTCATGTTGAATCAAATAATGATTCAAAACTGTGAAAGTTACCTGCCACATGTATAGAGATGGGTTTCATGCGCATTAATGCGTATTCATGCACATGATTCAGAATCATGCACATTTTATCCTATCTAAATTTTATATAAGAAAATTAATTTAGGCCAAGGTGTATGATGCCAGGCAAAATTAAGTAATAGGAATGCAGAAGTTTTGAAATTTTCCAAAAAGAAAATGAATGAACATAAAGATGAGAAAGGTCGGGAAATAACTTTGGCAAATATCCTATATTTTCAGATGAAAAAATAAAATCAAAAAAATTATATCATGCGATATCATGCGCATTTTATATAACATGTGTATTAATGTGCATTTATGCGCATGTTATTATAAAATACACATTTTTCCCATCTCTACACATATAGCATTGTTAGTTATAGATATAATTTCATAATTAAAAAGTTTATTAGAAAACTTAAGTCGAATCTAATGTTTGTTAAATTTCCTCATTATGACCATTACTGAAACTATAAAAGATCTAAGTTCTATCCCGAAACTATACGTAACCACTTGACCAAATCCAACATGCCTCTTTCGACCTAATGTAACCTAAACTTTGGTTACAACTCCCTTATTTTGATCAAGTGACAGACTCACCGATTTAGGGTCTAACACCGTATTATCCGGATCACACCACTAATAATTACAGATTTACATTTTATGACTTGAAAATAAAATATTGAGAGACGTTGAAAATGATATGGATAAAAAAAAAAATAACAAAATTTTAAAGAAAAGTGTATTATTAAGGACTTATTGTTAAGAAAATGGGTTGTCATAGAATGACAAAGTTAATCAAATTTTGTAGATATATTTATGAAGATGACACCAAATTATGCTAAATTATAATAATTAGTAATCATACCATCATGATACAAACTACACTTTAAAATCTATCAATAGCTAAAAATCAACAACAATATCCTCATATGGTACCAATGCAACATATGCTTCCACTTCCTTTCTAATATTGTCATCTAATTCCGAATAGCTGTATAAACCCATGTAATTCAAAGTTCTGTTTCGAATGCAGAATTCAATTAGCGCTTTAACATTTTTCTCGTAATTAAGGCAACCCGGTAACAGTTTTTTAAAAGGTGTATTGCAATAATTGAGAAAAATATCTAGGTATTGTTCTAGCCAATCATTTTCCAAGTCAAGATATTGCAATAACAACGGCAATATTTCTGAAAACTGCATAACTCGTATCTTCAGAACTTCTTTTGGTTTGTCGTAAGTATAGCAACATAATGAGAGAAATTGAAGGTTTTGTAAATTACCAATAAGCTTTAGAAGTTGTACAGAAAACTCAGCATTCATGTTGAGGTATGTAATGTTTGGACAGAAGGACTTAAGTAGTTCTAGTAATAATGTTTCCTCGCAAATATTACCATCATCACATACTTCTAATCCAAATATTATTCGTTGTAGTAAGATGCCGGACTTTTTAAAAATTAATACTACAGTCTGTACATCAAAAGTATTATTAACTACTTCTAAAGTGCTGACCTTATAATCAAATAATTTCAACAGTTTCATATTGCAATACTTAAGACGAAGTGTTTTTATTTTTTTACAATTATTCAATGTCTTAAACTCTTCGCTTTATTAGCATTATTTTTTTATATTTTGTTTAATTTTGCGATCAAGTTTTTTTTATTGCCAATTTTACTAATTATTGAATACTTAAAACTTTATACTTTTAAAAGCTTATTTAAACTGTTTTATTTTAAAACTTTTGTAATGATATTTATAATTTGTTAATAAAAAAATTTACAAGGAAATGTTATGTGCAATTCCTTTTAGATAATCTATAATAGAATAGTTATTTCGACTATTAAACACTACTATAATACGCCTTTCAGAATTAATAATACGTCTAGGCTGAGAAAGATGAGGTTTACCGCGTAAAACCTTTTCTATTTGCAGATCTGTTTGGTGTTGTTCTTTGCGCATTTCTTCAATAATTGTATAAACCCCAATATGAGGTTTTCCAATTATGTTGTTCCACCTATAATACCACCCCTCAACGAAGTTCTGGGTTCTGGGAAAACCTTGGGTTACAAGTTCAAATACAGACCATAATAATGGTGAAAATCTTGGTAGCATACAAATTGTATTTCCATTTCTAAGATGTTGTCTAACTCTTCCACGTTATAAGTTTTTTCAAAGTATTCTATAACCTGACTTGCATTAGGAGGAATTAGCAATTTAATTTGATCGAAAGCACCTGGAATTTCGGAAGGTAGAAGGAAAGCGAGTGCTGTTAGCAGGCATAATTTGATGCTAAATTCTTCATCATTGCCATATTCAGTAGATAATCCTGCGGCTTGAATTTGTCTCCAAACATTCTGGCAGAAATGAAAGAAGCAGCATTTATTCCTCGAATTTGGAAAGATTAAATGACTAGCATTAATTGCAGACTGCTCGAAATCTGTAATAATAATTGGTGAATTTAGACTGTAACCAGCCTCTTCACCTAAATTTAAATATATATATTAATTAATTTAAAGTATAAAAATAAAAATATATATACATGTATTTTTGAGTTAAAATTAAAGGTATAATTAGTAAACAATAAAAATTATGTTTAAACAATAAAATGCATATATATATATTTATTTTACTAAACTATATAATTTATTTATAATAAAATTTAAATAGTTTAATATTTTACCTAAGTCAGCCAACTCTTGAAATAATTGTATGTAGCTATCCTCAGACTTACTAGTCATTAAAATATATGCTAGTGGGAAAACACATGAATTGCTTTCACCTCCAACAGGAGCATGTATAGTATACAACTGTTGAAATAATGTTGGAACTGTCCAGAACGTTCCATCCATAATCCAATACTTAGCATCTTCTAAATATTGTAAGTTAGTAATTGTACAAAAAATCATTAATTTTTCATTATTATAATCAATTTCTCTTGCAAGAAATTGCTTTCCCCGAATACTTGAACATAGCAAATCTGGCATATCAATATCTTCTAATGATTGAGGCTGAGAAGGTAAATCTTTATTTCTAATACGTAAAATCTGTTTACGCAAAGCATTATTGTTTGGCATATAAGAAAAAGATGCTTTGGGTATATTGATAATGGTATCTTGAATTATTTGAGCTGGTTTTTCATGTGTTTGCGAAGCCTTTTCTTTGATACTATTAAGTGCTTGTATTACATCAGTACGGCTTGCCTCTGGGGCATGATTATGATCAGAAAACTTTTTTAAAAAATGATTTTGCTCTTCCAAAACAGTAATTGCACGTCCTTTACAACTTTTAAAAGATCTTAATTCACAACACCAATAGTAATTTAATTTGTAAGTTTTTTCTTTCACAAGTACATATCCACAAACTACAAGCTTTTCTTGACCACGAATAGAATGAACCACTTGGCAAATTTCATGATCCATTAAGTGAGTTACTTAAAGAATTTTTATATAAGATTTATGATAATTCTTTAAAAATAAAGGACAAAAAATCTTATTAAGTTATTAATAACTCAATTAGATAATTTTATTAACTTTGAAATTGCCTTTTTATATAACTTTAATATATCTTTTAAAAAAGTTTCTATTATCTTCTATGATCTAATCTTATGCTTTATCTTGGGCTATGCTATAGAAGTTTTCATGTATAGTATCTCAGCCCATTTTAGAACTTCACTCTTTTTAGATTTATTATACTTCACATTTCTTTGATATTTAGATGACTAATATTTCAATCATTTTACTGATAGACAATTCACTGAAATCACACTATATAATAATTCAATATATCAGTATATACATTAATATCTTAATTATAGTTGTCATGCTGTGTAATATCAATAAGCTGTTTAACAGTAAAATGATTATAGTATATTATTTTTACTTGCCAAAATTTGTGGCTTAATTATAATTTATACCCGGGTACTAAACATTGTATAGAAGTACTTGGGATTTATATATATGCATATATATATGTATATAATAGTTCAAACAATATATCTCCCTTGTTTCGAACTTGGGTACAGTACTAGTTAATACAATTTATACTAATATTTAAATTTTATTACAATATACTATCTTAGCCCATTTCAACTTTTCTTTTTTTTTAGATTACTTTTTTTTTTTTGTTTTTGATAATAATAGTACTTCAAATAATTTTATCAATAGACAATTTTACTAACATTATGCAGTATATTTGCACTAGCAAGTTGACAATACAGTCAAGTCTAGAAACACAGCTATTAATTCTAACCAGACAAGTAGATAAGCTAATCTTACTTGAATCGGCATATAAAGATAGATAAATAATGATTTTAATTAGTTGCCTATTTGGGATTATTAACAATTGTTTATCATTATTGTTATGATCTGATATAAAAAGAGGCATAGTATACACCAACTTTTTCCAACGATCATTTGGACCATATTTTTCTGAAACCTTTTTGACTAAAAAACAGTAACGTACTGCAAGAAAAAAGTAAGACATGGGAAAAGGGCGTAAGAAGAACCACACTTGTCGTTTAGAGGTAGTTTTCATATGCTACCTGCCGACAAGCTCAGAGTTTATCACTTACAGCAGCACAGCACTTGTCGTTTAGAGATAGTTTTTATACGCTATCTGCCGACAAGCCCAGAGTTTATCACTCACCAAAAAAACTTAGTACTGTGCAAATTTGTGGAACACCTGTTGATGTCTTTAGAACTCACACTCTTTTGAATATGTGCTAGTGGTCTTCTCTGTATTTTTTACTTTTTGCTGTTTTTACCAAAAATTTTGACAAAAAAGTGGGCATTTTAGCTTACCCCCTCCAAAAGATCAGCATTGTTTACACCTATCTAATTCGGACGACTCAGTAGAA